CACCCCCCTCCCCACTTGGAGTTCATAGTGACCCTAAGATATGTGTGTACCCTGTACCCCATGTCGCAAATACTGCGGGATCTCTCTGTGGACCTCAATAACAGGCCTGTCCTGTTAGGGCCGCATATAATATTTGCACCCCTGCCCCCTAGAGGTCACGCCTCAGTTTTGTACCTCTCGAGCAGCTGCCGGTCCTGGCCGATCCACGGCGACAGCTGGTAGTGCTCGCGGGGCGGGCGCCAGGGGATGACGCGTCGCTCGTACAGCGGCCGCTTGGCGCGCGCCGCGACCGGGATCTGGAGGACAGGGTCATTCTCATCAGTTCGTTTTCTCTTCAACGGGACTCGCGATTAAAAATGAAAGAGATTATGTTTTCTTGCCTCCCGTTCGGGTTCTGGCTCCGCGCACTTCCCCTCGTCGGCTGGCAGGGAGGAACATACAGATTAATGGGGGATGTTTTAAAACTGTAAATGTAACTGTTAAAATAGTTTGTTTGCACTTTTTCAATCACCAAAAAAATGCTAGCATCTATCAAACACAATCCAATGTTAGTAACTTGGATATTAGAAGCCATGTTTGTGTTTTGTTACTTTTTTGCAAACTTGCTTTAAACGTTACGAATCCGTGTTTTAAAAATTAATTACACAAACTCAAGTTTTGCCCTTCCACCCTCAGTCGCGCTCTTCGCTGCGTTACCTATCTGCCCCGGGATGTAGTAGTCCGTCTTGTCCACCTGCACCGCCTCCCCGACGTCCACCGGGCCGCAGTCCTTGAGCAGCTTGCAGTAGCCGTAGTCGTCGGGCCTGCCGACGGGCTTGCCCGGCCGCGCCAGCGACCCGTTGTACCAGAAGGGCGTCGGCCACAGCAGGGAGCTGGCCGTGGCCGAGCAGAGCGGAGCAGAGGATGCCGTTTAACGCGCCGCGCGCCCCCGAGCAGGCCGTGGAGGCCGCGGCGGCGGTGACGCCTGGAGGGTGGCTCACCTCATGGGCAGGACCACTTCCTCCTCCTTCTCCAGCGCGGCCGGCTGCTCGGGCTGCTGGGGCGGCGAGTGCGTCCGCGGCGGCGGTGGGCAGCCCGCGCCCGCGGGGTCCCTCGGGAAGGGGAACAGCGCCTGGTGCTCTGCGGGGGGAGGGGGGGGGGCAACAGGGGCGGCGTAAGCAGCGGCTGACATACAGTACGGCTCGTATACAGGGGTTTTGTAGCTCAAATTGCCCACCTTCCAGGCGGCTATCTAGGGACGGGGGGGAGGAGGGATCGCCCGCCCCTCCTCTAAAATGGGCCTGGTTAGCAAACGGGTTGCGGTTGCGCCGCTCTCGCGAACTCGCTCTCTCAGGAGGTACGGTGCCCTCTCACCTTGTGGGTAGAGCTGTGCCGGTCGGGTCAGGCGGACCACGGTGGCGCTCGCATCGCTGGGTGGGGGTACCCAGTTGGCCCTGTCCGCGAGCACCTTCAGCTCCAGGACGGTCGGGTGCAGCTTCACGTCGTGGTACCTTCAGTGTGTCAGTGTGACCGACATTTTTCGCTTGTTTACTCAATGTTTTCAGCTGAGTTTCTAAGTGCTCGTTTGTTGGTTCAACAGATTCCCGTCCGTTTCCCGGGCGTTGCTCACCCCGCGTTGACGCCCGTGCCGAAGTGATGGTGCGTCCTCGGCACGGTGGGGACCGTCTTCATGCGCTCCCCGAACACGGGCAGCAGGTTGACGCCGCTGTACTGGCCGAAGTGGGTGCCGTACGAGGCGTCTGGTGTGCAGCGTCAGAAACGATACCGGTGCGATGTCGATCTGCTGACTTTGCGACATCGTCTCGCCTCCCGCTCACCTCGGTAGTGCTTGACCTCGCGCACGTAGCGACCCACGGAGGGCTGCGTCACCCTGGGCGGGAGGCCGATGGTGTGCGCGTCGTCGGAGAGGAGCGTGGGCACCACCTCCACCTCCTTGAGCACCGGGGCCGCCAGCTGCCGCTCCCAGCCCGCGCCGCGCTCGACGGGCTGCCGTAGGAGGGTCAGGAAGGATTCAAGGGAACGCGAGGTCGCGATCACGTCGATCGGAACAACGGGGCTCTCCTACCGGAAGTAGAGTCCTACCGGAAGCTGCAGCGCGAGGCGCGGCCCGTGCTGCGGCCGGGTCCTCCCGGGCCCCTCGAAGACCACCGCCATGCCGAAAGCCTAGCTCGGGGGCTCGGGGCAACCCGGGGCACCATCACCATGACGCTGGCCCGCCTCTGTTGGGAGATGACGCGGCGCTGGTCGGCTGGGTCGAGTGGGTTTTAACTCCAACTCACCTGCTCACCTGAGACCCTTGCGGTGCTACGACGCGCGTTTCCGGTTTCCATCTTCTAGGAGAAAGCATCAACCATGGAGGGTTGGGTCTTTTCAGACTATGTGAGGCTTCTTACACCGGTTGTAGTGCGCGCCGGCGCCGCGCCCTCGTTCTCACGTCGATCATCTTTGGCGCTTCGGTTTGAACTGACCGAAATAGCGCGCCAGGCCTAATGGAGGAGTAGCCTCGCTGAAGCAAGAAACAAGCCCCATCTCGATTGCAATGAAGAACGGGGATGGGGCGACTCGTGCGACCCTCGCGGCCAACGCGAGAAACGCTGAATGTTGTTGCGTGCAAAAGCAGGCTGAGGGGGAGACGAGTAGGGAGAAAAGACAAGTTAGTTATGCCCTACATTGTCAACAACAAATCCTCACTGGCTCCAATTTCATGATGGACCTAAATCTTTAAATTTAATTTTAAATTTAGAGTGGCAGTTGGAGTGTTATTGATTCAGTCCTAGAGCTACCACAGACATTGAGTCCAAGTCACTCGTCTGTAGTCGTCATGGAGCTGTCAAAAGGTTAGTTTTTCATAATGTTTTTGCCTTTTTTACCTATTGATTCGCACTATGTTGTTGAACGGAGGAGTTAAAAAAGCTAATTTGATGATAAGTTTTATTTCTACCTCACAAAGGAACAAGCAAAGCTCTACAAAAATTCTCACTTATCACTTTTACATCTGTCTTCATTTCAATCTGTAGTGTTGTACTGTCTCGATTGATTCACAGGTTTTATCGCTGATCTCATATCCGTTTCCAAACGTACTTTTTGGACCAATTCAATGTTTCTTTTATGATTAGCGATACTTCGTTCACAATCTCAGTAACAGGACCTGTGCATATCTAACCTCAATGATGTGCAACTTTCCTGTTGATACATTGCTAAATCATAAATTCTTATACTTTGTTCTTAACCAGAGTAAATATGGTCTACCTCACGTTTTTTTAAAATTTTACACTCTCTCATTTTGGTTTAAAGGTGGTGTGTCTTCTTCATTAGCTTAAAATGGATTGTAGAGCGTACAAAGTAGATCAGTATGAATGAAGAAGAACTCTTAATAAGGGCCGCGGAAGAGCGTGCCATTATTGTCAACAAATATGCTCATGGAAGAGAGGAAGGTGCTCAAATTGACCCGTGGGAAGACCCACAATTTGAAATATATCATGTCACTGATCGCTATGGGTTTATTCAGTAAGTTTCTGTACTTTTTCAATAGCTGAAGTTACAGTGTATCTTGTGTTGACTTGGGTTTTGTAAATTAACTTTGGTGATTTTGCAGTGATGAACGAATTGCTCAGCGTAACGATAAAAAACAAATACAAGTGGAAATGGAACGGGAGAAGAAATGGCTGAAAATGGCCAAAGAATGGGATCATCATAAACGTAGCCCAGAAAAGTTAAGACGCCGGGTGTACAAAGGCATTCCAGACTCTCTGAGAGGAACATTTTGGAGTCGATTGCTAAATTTAGAAACAATTAAACAAGAGCAGAAGGGGAAGTATGAGGTAGGCTGATATTTTTTGTATTGTCCATTGTATATAATGGCACTATAAGTAAATACCTATCGTATTTGATTTAAAAATAAAATTTTTACTGCAGGAAATGCGAGCAATAGCATGGAAGTGGTCACCTGACATAAGACAAATTGATTTGGATGTTAATAGAACGTATAGAGACCACGTGATGTTTCGTGAGCGCTATGGCTTAAAACAGCAAGCGTTGTTTAATATTTTAAGCGCTTATTCTGTTTATAATAGGGAAATTGGGTATTGTCAAGGAATGTCTCAAATAGCTGCACTTCTCTTAATGTATATGAATGAGGAAGATGCATTTTGGGCTTTGTCAGCATTAATATGTGACAAGAAGTATTGTATGCATGGTAAGTAAAATCAAATCTTTTTCTGGTTTCTCTTTCATTCTTTTCATAGCATACACTGGTGCTGCTTTTGTTTTTAAGGTTTACTTGACGTAATTTTACTCAGTCTGTAAGTTATCTAAACCTTCTTTATGACCGTTTTCTTACAGGGTTCTATATTCAAGGATTTCCTAAGCTTGTGCGATATCAAGACCACCATGACAAGATAATGAATAAATTCCTACCAAAGCTCAAGAAGCATTTAGATCGCCATGGAGTTGATACTGGTATCTACACTCTTAAATGGTTTTTCCAATGTTATCTAGACAGAGTGAGTAATCTATTCTTGTATAATGTTTAATTTAATCAGCCTTGTAATGTACCACAATATTTAAGTACGGTCTAATCTTTTCTGACCTAATACTCAATATCTTCAATATTCTATTTTAGGTCCCTTTTCGACTTGCGCTGCGAATATGGGATGCCTATTTATTAGATGGAGAGCGAGTGTTAATTGCTGTGGGTTACAACCTTTTGAAATTACATCGTCAACAACTTATGCGACTGGGCATGGATGATATTTTAACATACCTACAGGTAGGTCCTAGGTAGTTAGTACGTATTAACATAATGCATTGACAATTTTATGAGCATTTTTCTTATCATTTACCTACTTTAGATTCGAATGGAACGAAGTGAAATGGATGATGATATTGTAATGGAGAGCCTCCAGCGTTGTATGGAAGAGTTGAAGAAAGCTAAGTTACACTACCCTGGTCCTTCACCTCCAGATGAACTTCCGAAAATGCCATTTGGAACATTTACTGAGCCAACATTTGAGCAGAAGGTAAGGAAAAAGCTTCATTTGTTTGAAGTTGTTTTGAGATTAATTTGCATCTGAAATTACTGATGCAGATTTATTCAGTTTCAATGGTTTAAAACATCTTTGCTTTCAGGTGGGGAGAAGAACAAGTGAATTGACAGCACTGGAAAGAGTAGCTACAGAATCCGTGGTGTTAAGGAGACAACAGACTGAGGAACAACTAGAAATGGATCAACTTTCACCCCGACCCCCTGGAGCAACAAGCAACGGTCATCACAGGCTGTCTCATATCTCTGGTAGTGACGGCGGAAATCTTGGAGGTGTGTACCTATGAATAATAGTCTAGATGGATATTAAAATTTAGCTTACCTGCATGAAAATTAAAGTTTTGCTGCATGTAAAAACTTTACTGTGATGGTGACCTCCTTCCCCTAACATGGAATCTGCTTTCTGCCTCTCTTTTCTTTTGATATGCTTCAAAATGAAAAATTTATGAAACAAGAAACGTCTTATAAATTACTTGTTTTTGTTGAATTTTTTTCCTCCCTTGCTCTATTTTCTTGTGTTTCCTTAGACCCTCAAAATACATTGAAACTAGTAACTTTGTTTTTATTTTACATGAAATATGGAATGTGGGGTCTCAGAATACTTTCATTATATGTTTTGAATTCATTAAAGATACACTTTGTGTCAGTGTTATAATTTGCAAGTTATTGTCGTACTGTCATCTTTATTTTGAAACATCAGAGCCCATAGTTCCTTCCAAACTGTCCATAATTAATTTTAGAATTGTCTGCAAATTTCTGACTCTCATGCTTTTGTCTTTCTTTTTCTTCCTGTCACATGGACTAGATCAAGGTAAGCTACATGATCTTCATATCAAATTACTAATACCTACCGTATCTATTTCTGTTTGATTTTTGATGTTTTCTTTGCTTTCTTCAGGATCCAAATTCTCCTTTGATCCCAGCATCGATGACGCAAGCTCTTTGGTTTCTCGGCGATCATTGGCGGACACCAGTGTTACATCAACTGCAGACCTCTCTGTATTTTCTTCAGTGACTCGATCTCATGCGCAAGATAATAGTTTAGATACACACAGTAATGTATCTGATGAAAGTTCAGGGCCAAGGGCAATTACTCCCACTGCTACTCCTAGAGCTCTTACTCCACAGCCTTCGGCCCCTAGTCCTGATGTTGTTAGAATATATGTTCCATATTCTTCACCTTCTCCACCTTCACCCTGTCGGCAAAACGGCGATCTCCCACCAAGATCTTTACCATGCCCACTTACATCAGACCAGAACAAGTTGATAATTAAGGTGGACAATAACAGCCAGGAAGAGCAAACACCCATAGTTGAACATGGTCATTTGGTAAAGCCCTTCCAGCTCAATAGTCCTGAAATAGACTTAAAATAGGTACTGGAAATTTTACGTCATTGGCATTATAGTTCAATTATTGTTGGTACCTGATATGACTTTGGTATTTCTAGTAGGCTATACCAATCCATAAATGAGATAAATGAACTATAGGTAAGCATTTAGATTTGACAATTATGAATTTGTATTTATTTTAATATCCAAGTGAGCATTACATACCTGTGTTATTAGGCCTTTCTACTGAATCTTTGTTTTTCTTATATAAGGCTTTAGCTTAAGTATATTTGGAGTCCATAGCACTGTTGTTTGTATGCAAATTTAGAGCAAAATTTTAATGATATTTTGAAACTTAAATTATGGCGGATTTGAAGATTTTTAGAGATTTATTGTTGCTTGTGGTTTTGCTTTTTCAGCACAAATTATGTTATGTATATGTCAGTATTTGTACATAACAGACTTACGTTCTCAAAGATATGCTTTGTGTGGCAGCAGTCTAGAACTCAGTCAACAACTTTAGTTTACTGTAAATCAAAGACAAATACAAAAGACAGCTCTTTGACTATAGAGCTCGTGAAGAAATGCACACTTGCCCCTAACCATCTACTTAATTTTCATTGCCTTAAAGTTTCACTCCGCTTGAATGATCTTGACTATGCTACTTGTGTGTGCCGCCACTTTCAAGCTGCTTGACCATTCATGCTTTCTACTTGAGCATGATAACAAATAATCCCATCTCTCTCTGTCATGAATCTCAAAAATGGTAGATCTATCTGTAAATCTGACAGTGGGATTTAGAAATCTAGTTATTTTATTTTTAAGAACTGTTCCAGAAATTCATTCAAGAAAAAGATTTGACTTTACTTATCATGCATACAATACTTTCAGTACTACTGCATATCTCTCTTAAATACTATTATGTTTTAATTTTGTACGGATTTAAAATGTTTGGTGATCACAGATGCAACTTTACAACAATCTGTTTTTCTTCTGTTTTTATTTCCTTTCAGAATTTTTAAGTTTATTGTTGTCATCTTTAATTAGAGATACACTCAAGTAAAGTTGTAAAATGTGCCAAGATTTTAACATTTACTGAATCAGAGCATTGACAGTCCATCAAATGTGGACAATGGTTAGACTGTTAATTTCTTGAAGCAAGAGTCAGGGAATATTATTTCCACAGTATGAAATTATGGGACGGGGAATATGCCCTGCTGTATTATTTTATTTTTGAGATGTGGTGCTGACTGTTAAAGGAGCAGCTGCATGGTCTATGTTCTGAATTTTTTGCTATAAGAGTCATAATCACTTATTTTATGATGCAATGTGATGATGTACTGTTTCCCATTGGTCTGCAATGGTTCCCTTTCCTCTTATAGAGGACAATGAAAGATATTAAGTACAGTATGCTTAATGAATAGGTAGTTATTTCTTACTCATGTATGTTATGTATGTTACTCTCTTCATGTCTGCTTTGTAGGTGTAATAGGTTGAAAAAGTGGTTAACTGTTGTTATCTAATCCATATCATGAACAAAAATTATCTTATATGTACTTTTTTGAAGTGAACGTGGTATTTTTTGGGTATATAAAAGTTTGATGAAAACATTGTATTTTCTGGTAATTTGTTTTCAATTCTACAAATGCCGGCCTTGATTTCGCACTTCTTCTATGCTATGCTAATTGATTGAATGACAAAAAATTTGCAATTTTCATTAGAAAAAAAGTATTTTTTATTAAGACACAGATTATGTGCAGTATTGGTATGTGAATTTGTTTTATATTGTAAACATGTACTTACCCCGTAGATAATTAAATCAGTAAAAAGGAAAATTTAGGAAAAGAGAATGCTTTGTGCTGATGACATGGTGAGTGTGTGTCAATTAGTGCCTAAATGTATTCAGTAGCAGTTGAAAATCTGCTAAGGTTTTTCTAAATTCAGATGAGTCACTTCTGTCTTAATGATTCCCTAAAATTGCTATTTCTTCAAATTTTACACTCCAACTATTACAAATATGGTGATGCTGCTGACATATCGGGTGTTATTCTCCCTCTGTCAGAGGGGCACTGCATTGTTCTTACATGGTTATAGAATCATACACTTCTTTAACCAAAGAATATCAATAAAACGTAATCAGTTAGTTAACACTGTGATGTAGTGGTTGTACTCTAAAGTTGTTATGAAATTTCTAAAGTCTTCTAAAATCCATTTGTGGTTTGTTCTCTGAAATATTTTTGTCCATCAATCTTAAGCTGTCTGCTCTTGAGGTTGTTAAACTTAAATGCCAGCATCCTGTTTCTTTTCACCTTTTGTCAGTCAGTTAAAATGTCATGTAGGTAGCTTATTGGAATTAGTTTCCTATTCTTAAATATTATAATCATGTTCTATTAATACCAAATTTCATTCTGCTTGTTATGTTTATATTTAGGTTTTCTGTTAAAACAGCATGGAAAATTGTAGAACAAGAAAAATGTTTGTAATTATGTAGCTACAGATGTCAATGTTAAAAACATGATATATTTTAAAATAGGATGTGGAGTGATGCAAATTCTTTAGGACTGTGTTTGTTACAACTTATTTTAGTGCTGGCCTCTTTCTCCAAAAGTAAGTTAGCAACTGAAAATTGCTCTCTATTAAAATGTGTCTCCTGCTCATCTGTTACTGTATTCCAGCTACCGCCTCATCAATATATTTTTAAATAATCACCTTGGAAGGTGACTCGTCTCTCCTGCTGACGGCTAACTTATGATAGAGTTTCTATGGCAATCTTTCCCTTAGATTTTTCAGTTGAACAGTAATTGGTTGTGCGTGTGTTTAGTAAACAGCAGTGCAACTACATATTATTGTTACTAATTTGCTAGATCTAAAAGTTTTTCTCCTAAGACTGTGTAGAGTGTTTAGATAAGTTTTTTCCTGGTATGAAAACGATCTCTGAAGTAAAAAAATATTATAGAAATTATCAAAATATGTACAACATTCCAGGACATGGGATAGGATTTTACTGACTGTTCAGGTTTAAGTGATATGTAAGTTTTAGCTAAATCTAAAAACTCTACACAGTCCAATTAGGATTAGAAGCTGTCTGAAAGTTTAACGATTTCCTTGCATTTTGACATGCAATAATGTGGTAATGATTTACATTCTAGCAATAACCTTGTAGATTTTCTGTGTATTTATATTTTTCTATGGAAGTAATGCCAAAAATTGTACTAAAAATCAACCTTTGTTTGGTCGTTCCATTTGGAAATGTTTCTAATCTTTCTAGTGGTTATTAAAATATTTTGGCATTCAACAAATTTTGATGTACTAACGTAAAATACCATTACTATGCATTCTTGTATCATTGGCCCGTTTCCTGCTATTTAGTGTAACAGCACCTGTAAGGGTGCGGTAAAAACATCTAAATTTTAATAATAAATGAATATTTATTTTATCTGCAACTTTTGTTTGACACCTTTACCCACTTTGATCTCCGCAAGGTTGGTAACTCTGATCGGTTGGTTGTTGTTGTTGTTTGGTTGGTTATTGGCACTTTGTTTTGATCAGATCAGAAGTTAAGTCTACAAAATCATTTAAATCATGCCCAAAGTTGTTTCTCGAAGTATAGTCTGCTCAGACACCAAAGATCAAGAAGAATATGGAGAGGAGAAACCTTTGCACATATATTACTGCATTTGCGGACAGATGACATTAATTTTAGGTTAGTGACCACTTTCTCTATCAGAACACTTCATGTAGAGCAAGTAGAGGCCAGAAAACGTTTAGGTCTATCGCTCTCTCTGTCAGTTAATTTGTTCCCTTGATCTTCTAATTTGTTTTTTGTCAATTCAAAACCTTATTACTTTTTCGCAGATTGTGCAATTGAGAAGCTTCCACTTCGCAAAAGAGATGGATCTCGTGTCATTGATGGTTCAAAACATGCGCATAAAATAACTTGTGATCAAGATGAAATTGTACATATCAAAAGACCTGAGGGTATTGAACGACAACATCGTATGAAATGCAAAAAGTGAGTTTCCCATCTGAAGTTTATAATCAGTAATCTTGAATGAGCACTAAAATAATTTTCTTCCTCCAGGTGTGGCCTAGCGTTGTATTACAAACATGAGGCTCGAAGCAACACTAACTTTATTTTAAAAGGAGCTATTGTAAAAAGCTCTGGGGAGGGACCAAAAATGGATATTTATAATCAAGTAGCTGCTGTAGCTAAACCAAAGAAAATCATGGTGACAAAACATACTAAAAATATGGGTAAATTTAGTTCTGTCACTGTATCGACCATTGATGAAGAAGAAGATGAAATTGAAGCTGTAAGCTTACTCTCAATTCTGATATCCACTAATCTTTCAACTTGTACATGTTTTATCAAGTTTGGTTCTCTTTGCAGCGCGAGGTTGCTGATTCTTATGCTAATAATGCAAGAATCATTGAAAAGCAGCTAGAAAGGAAGGGAATGAATAAACACAAAATGACAGTTCAACAGACTCAGGCAGAAATAGAAGCAAAGAAGGCTCGTGTCAGAGGAACTCTGATAGATAAATAATTAGTTTGATTCTGCACTTAAAATTTGTATTCTATTTGTGTATGTGTT